GAGAGGACACGAAATTATCACATTTCGCGAGAACTGCTCTAGTAAGGGAGTATGGGGCGATTTGTAACAGGGGCGATTCGTAACAAATGCGTTTATTAATTTAAGTGGAGGGAGCAGAGGAAAATCTGAGTATGGCCCCTCTTTCGCTTCAAGTAGAGGGTCCTTGAACAATCGAAGCGGATGTGATCGGTGCTCAGGTATAGTTTTGGAGGGCGTCTGAAATATAGGGTGCACCGAAAACAGGCAAATATTTTATTTTGAGTTCAAGGAAGTTTCTGTCTGAGGCTGCCCAGGTATGAATCACCATCGAAGTACCGTTGAGGCCTCGAAGCGTGACCCCTTTACAATGTAACCACGTGGCATAAGTTGCTTTTACTTTGTCCAGTGATAGTTAGGGACGTATTTCTTGCGTAGCCGGCATTTGGGGTGATTCGTAACAGACCCGTATAAAAACAAGAATTTAAGTAGTTTTTGCAATAAAATGCTTGAATTTTTTCTCGTATCATCTGCTGCCTAATTCCAATACATTTACACAGCTCAAAATGCAATTTAAAGCGAGTTATTCTATTCTTTCCTCCAAAATTGAAAAAAGTGAGGTTAGGGTTGACATAGCCGGTCAGTTAATGCTGAGGCGGTCAACGGCAGCTTGCAATGCAGATTTTAAGGCGTCTGCAGGACATCTGAAGAACAACTGCTGGAGGAGCTAACATTCCCGACGATGTTTCATTTAATGTGTAGGATGTCATGAAAAGCCCCATGGCTGTTACAAATCACCCCATGCTGGGGCGATTCGTAACAGCTCGCAAGGGTTTGGAAAGCGTCTTAGATTTCAAAGATTACGGATTCCAGATTGATCCAATGGAGCTGCACAGTCTAGATGAAGGGTCAGACTGCTGAACTGGCACAAGTTTGACAGCGATATGCAGAATGTTCTTAATTTTGTATAGAGGATTCCAAAATCTGTTACAAATCGCCCCATACTCCCTTACACTTGGACTACTAGTGGGACAAACTCTAAGTGTAGTTTCTGACGGCATCATGAATTGAGCCCGGGACTGTATGTGCCATACACTAGTCTTTACTTTCCAAGTGTACTTCAAACTTCCCACGTACTGCACGGGACCCCCAACTCCAGCGAGCTTCACCCAGCCGGCCCACCGTTCCGGGCCTTCAAGTGGCCCGCACGGAGAGGCCCGACTGCAGGCTTCTTCCCTTGCTACACATCACCACACAAATCAACGTGATCTCTAGTCAAAACACCATCCGGTTTTCCCATTATTGCGGGGGGGCGGGAGTGTCGGCCTCCTAGTGGGCCTCGTGTGAGAGGGACGCAGAGCGGCGGAGCGGCAGCCAATCAGAACGCATTGGTGTCCCCTGGGCGAAACCCGCCCCGGGGAAACCCCGTGCGAGGCTAGGTATGAGAGTTAGTCGCGGTCAGACCGGTCGGCCGGGTTTCCCGCCTTGGGAGCAGCGCACGATTTGTTCTCATACCGAAGCCTAGTCTCGCGCAAGCTACCCCGCGCCGCCGCCCAGGGGACACCAGGCGCTCGCTCTGCGTCCCTCTCACACGAGGCCCACTGCGGCCTAAGGTCATATGGAAGATAGGTCTGCGCAACCGAGATGCATGCTGGGAGACCGGGCAAGCCGGCAGGTAGGCGGTCCTCCGCTGCGGCCGGCGACGGATTCGGGAGGGATTAGCTGCCCGGTCTCCCAGCATGCATCTCGGTTGCGCAGACCTATCCTCCATATGACCTTACTGCGGCCTCCCAGACCCCGAAGGGCTGCTCTGCAAAGGGCGGAAGCACTACGTCCTTCTCAGGGCGAGAGCACGAGCACGCACGGCAAAACCAACGTCCGGGTTTCCCAGGCGCACCCTGGAAAAACAGGGCATTTTTCCAGGGTGCGCCTGGGAAACCCGGACGTTGGTTTTGCCGTGCGGCAAGCGGAGCGCAGCAGGCGGGCGAGCTGGCCGTGGCCGAGTCGCTGCGGCGCTGCTGTTTCCCAGAAAGGGAGAGGGAGAACAGCAACATTTCCACTATGTACCAATTGCTCAGACACTTAAAGCACTTTTTAATGACTCGGAATTGGCTTACCACTTTATTGATGGCCGGCTCAAAGCTAAGCACTAATACTTCAGTTATTTCTGATTTCACTGATGGCTCTGTGTTCAAAGGAAATCGATTCTTTCTGGAACACCCTTCTGGTATAAAGTTAATTTTGTATCAAGATGATTTTGAAGTTTCTAATCCACTCGGAGCAACAAAAAACAAATACAAGTTGGTTGCTCCCGGGTGGAAGCACTGAGATTCCAAACGCTATGAGTATAGCACGTATGGTGCGATGCAGCTGAGATATCGCACCATACGTGCAATACGATAGCCATATTGCACCTTACGTGCGATGCGTCCCGAAAATGCCCTATGCTAATGCATGGGAATGGGGAGGTATTGCACTTCATGTGCAATGCTTTTCCATCGCACCAATTGACGCTATACTCATAGCGTTTGGATTTTCAGTGAGGATCTGCAGTTTAAACTATATTGGAAAAATATAGATTTTTTGTAATGTTAAACTTAATTTTTAAATAATTTTTTTCATACTTTAAATTACTGTAATGTATTGTATAATTGCAGGTAAAGTGTAGTTCAACTACAGTTGAAGTGTAGTAAACTACAATTAAACTGCAAAAAAAGTACCAGTTATTTCGGACAACTATAGTTTTTGACCCAGGTTGTCCTAGTCTTCAGATCAGTTGACTATAGTTCAAAGTACAGTTTTACTGTAGTTTAGTTACACAGCCAGAGTTAGTTCAAAAGAGAAGACAATCTGCAGTTTTAAAATTTGTTTAAAAAAGTTTAAAAAAAAACACAGCTGTGTATTATTCTCTTGGTAATTTGCCTGCTCATCTACGATCCTGCTCTGACAATATACAACTTGTTGCGTTGTGTAGAAGAAAATATTTTAATGCAAAGGCAGTCTTTGGCCGCATTGTGAATGATTTGAAAACAATTGAAGATGTTGGAGTACAGGTGAGCCCTGGGCGGTTTGTGAAAGGTACTGTTGTTTTCATCATCGCAGGTGATAACCTTAGCAGTCATGCGCTTGGTGGGTTTGATGAATGTGAACTGGATTGTGAGGCAGAGAGTGAGGGAGACAGTGAGGAAGAGAGTGAGGTAGAGGAATGCGAAGATGGCAATTCTGATTCGGAGTGCGAATATTGTTATGGTTCTGGGAGTAAAGATAACAGTTGTGATTCTGAGAGTGAAGATGCCAGTAGTGATTCGGATTCTGAAGCTGATAATGCCACTGTCTATGTTGACCAAGTTTTCCCAAACAGGACTGTAGAAAATTATAAAGCTGCCCTGAATACCCCAGACCAACATTTCGCAGGCAACATCGGGCAGGCATTGGTCAAGTACCGGGCAACTATGCGCAACTACGGGCAACTGCCGGGCAACTACGGGCAACTGCCGGGCAACTACGGGCAACTTCCGAGCAACTCGGGGCAACTGCTGGGCAACCACCGGGCAACTCCGAGCAACTCCGAGCAACTGCCGGGCAACTACGGGCAACCACCGGACAACTGCCGGGCAACTGCCGGGCAACTGCCGGGCAACTGCCGGGCAACTGTGCGCCCGAGCACAGCTCGCGGGCAACTAAAGGAAGATGTCGGAAAACATCAGTTCAATAGGTCGGTTTTGATACCCCTTTTTAAAGGCGTAGCAAACACATGCTAAAATCGACCTATTTTATTCTGCAGATCAGCCATTTCGAGTCTAAGCCTATGACATATGGGTATCTTGCTTTTCATCTCGTTGAGATGAATCCGTTTCCGACATCAGTTTTTCATTTCCACATATTTGATTTTATAAACTTAGATAACACATAAACTTAGATTCGAAATTATCAAGGATTTGAGCTTTGAACATGCCAAAGTTTCGTATAGGTACGGGACACACTCTCAGCCTTTTCCTGACTATGACGGGGCCCCAAGACCCGAAGAATGCCTTCGGGCTGGTCCAACGAATCGGAGAGGGGAAGTGTGTGTGTGTGTGTGTGGGGGGGGGGGGGAATTTGCGGAGGCCTGAGGAGTCCGAGGCAGGTAGCGGTCGGGTTCCTGCACGGTTTATGATACTCTTTTCAGATCCCCTCAAACATCGTAGTCCGGAATTTTTAGCAGATGATACCTTTACTACTTCAAACATACTTTAGAACAATACAAGACACTTAAAGGTGTCAGCTAGCTTTTACTCGAGAGCGGGACAGTGAGTGCTTGATGCACGGTCAACAATGTGCGCGAAACATCGATAACTCCTCCCCTCCCCCGGGTACAGCGCCAGCGGCACCGGGCGTAAACAATGGCACCGTCTCCTCGGCTCGGCCCCGCGCGGCAAGGACCAACATCGACACTCACTCCCCAATCATATATGTTCTAACCCTTATTTACAATTTTATATATAATCACAAACATGCGAGCATACTGTCAAAACTATAGCACACACGACAGTACCAGACGAGTATCATCTGCTTCCATGAACGTTTCTTGAATGGAGATTTTTAGTACTATTGACAGAAAAGAGGTGAAAAATCAAATAAGTGGAAATGAAAAACTGATGTCGCAAATGGATTCGTCTCAACGAGATGAAAAGCAAGATACCCATATGTCATAGATTTAGACTCGAAATGGCTGATCTGCAGAATAAAATAGGTCGATTTTTGCATGTTTTTGCTACGCCTTTAAAAAGGGGTGTCAAAACCGACCTATTGAACTGATGTTTTCCGACATCTTCCTTTAGTTGCCCGCGAGCTGTGCTCGGGCGCACAGTTGCCCGGCAGTTGCCCGGTGGTTGCCCGTAGTTGCCCGGCAGTTGCTCGGAGTTGCTCGGAGTTGCCCGGCAGTTGCCCGGCAGTTGCCCGTAGTTGCCCGGCAGTTGCCCGTAGTTGCGCACAGTTGCCCGGTACTTGACCAATGCCTGCCCTATGTTGCCTGCGAAAAGTTGGTCTGGGGTAGACCACGTAGTGTGAAGAGCAAAGAAGGAGTCAAGCATGATTCGTTGTTCAACGAACTAAAGTGACTTAAAATGTGGAACGAGATGTTCCACGCCTACATTTGCGGTGTACGCACATCATCCGCAACCTAGTTGCAGCGAGTGCAGAGGCTCCGCGGTAACTCTAGAGGCCATCGATTGGCGGACGTTTGAGTGGCAGCTGCAGTCGATGCTATCTGCGTCAGGAACTTTCCTCAATGAATCGTCCAGTTGCTTTCCTGTCTGAGCACAACCAAGTTCAGGTAAGAGAAACTCCAGACAAAATACAACCACTTGACTGAGCACCTTTTTAGAATTGAACCGAACTTCGTTTGTGGGTTCCTTTCCATCAATACGAACTGCCGGAATCCTCCGGGAGCAAGACCTGACGAGAACCCTGGTTTTGGTAGAGGCTGAAAACCCCGCAAAATGGCTGTTTTGGGGATTTATGGGACCAGATTGGCATAGGGAAGCGAGTGGCCAAGAAAACACTCCAGTAGGCGCGTGTGGACAAAAAAGTGCGCTCTTCCGCACGCTTGAAACCTTTCGATGTATTTTGAGCATGCATACTATTTTTTTTAAATACAAATTAACAGTAAGAAATCACAAACTATTTTCATTGTAAGCATATGTGTGCTCAAAATACTTTGTTATAACAAGCTGCTTTTCTTTGTAAGGCCTAAAATAGTTTGTACGGTTCTCTCAGTGCGAATGCCGGGTCGCGCGAGGCTCTAAGTGGTTCACAGTGATCCTTAACTTATCTCATAAGGGCATCATAACGTTATCATAAGAGTTAAAGTTATTACCCTTAACACTAGAAGCGCCGAACGGGCCAATTTGACCCATTTTGAGTTTTGAACTGAAATTTCCACTTTTGAAAATAAAAGTGGCAGCCCCCTAATTTCTGACTTTTCCTAGAATGATGAAATGCGTCTAAATTCGAAATCTGGACGTTCTCGGACCATATTTGACCGAGATAAATTGACTTTTACCGTAAAGTGCCAAGCGGGCAAAATTGACCCACACGGCATTTTGACCACATTTTCGCGTTTTTACACAACGTAACGAGCTATAAACTGACTCTTCACCACTAAACATGACTAACGTCATATGAGGAATGCGTTAGGTCCGCGTTTATAACGAAGTAGGCAACCTGCAATACATTTCCTGGCTGGAGACATCGTGCAGCTTCCTTTGACGTAAACTGCCAATGTCTTGCACTGATAGAAAAAAAGGACAGAAATTACACGGAACATGTCTGGTCAATTTTTTACCTGGACCGTCCGTACCTTGCCAACTACGGAGGTTCTGTACATGATTTCTGTACCCGTTTACATGAGATCCTAATGGGGACCACAGAGAACCAGTACAAAAGGTCCGTACCTTTTCCGTACCCGTCTGTACCCCATTTTTCCGTACATTTTCCGTGCCAAACCACGGAATTTTTTGCAGTGTGGGCATTTTGGGTGACCCGATTGACTTCTAAACGCCCTAAGGTGTCTCTCGAACACTGAGCCACTAGTCTACCTTCAGTGGCACTCATAGCACGCTCAGCCCGAATCCTTGGGACAAAGGACTACAGCACTTACTCATGCGTAAAGAGATAAATAAAATGCCCGTGTCCACTTTGTTGCTCTCGTGTCTAGTGTTTCAAGGTAATTCACTTGCCTTCATAAATTTTAACTAGTTCGGCAACTATTCATTCCCTAGATGTCTGAACAAGCCGGTCAGGACGATGGGCGACACGGAAACCCATCTCAGGGATACAGCAGGAGCAAAACTGGTTGGGAAGGATCACTGAATGCTAGTTGACGAACGGACGCAAATTAGAACCCACTACGCGCCTTGCTGGTTATGTCGAGTTTATTGAGTACTCGAGAGTGTTTACACATGTCTCTTACATTCAGCCTGTTAAGCACACACTCAATCGAGCACTCAATCCTCCTTACAATGAGCTTCTCCGTTGCTATGAATCCTGGTTTCCGGTCCGGGCATGCCTTGCAGCTATGCTTTGAGGGTTTGGCCAGGTCTTAATGGTCGATGGTTCAGTAATTTTATTAAAAATCACTATCTCGATCACAAGGCGATTAGAATTCTGCCATCTATTATCATCAAAAACGTTTCGGCAACGAGGCACTGTAGAAAACACTAAGAACAGCAAATCATGGTTTGCGGGTTGCCTACCTTGTCCCCTGTGACCCCTGTGCACCAAATTTTATCCTTTGACTTGCTAAGGGTCTACAAATCCGTTTTAGGTTCCCTTTCAGTCAAAATGACGGTTCAAGAGTTGACTTGTACGACGAAAATGCCCTTGGGTCAAATTGGCCCGCTCGGCTAGACCAGCTCTTATTTTGCGAAAGTGAGAATTCCGCTGGGTTCCCCGACTCAAAATGACCGAAATGGTGAGAAAACTCTTAATTTGAAAGCCCAAGGTCGTCAGACTTACCAAAGCCGTGCCCCAAGACCCTATATAAAGGCAAAAAGCCAAAAAAATTTTTTCGGATTTTCGCCAAACTAAGTTTGACTCTAGGGTAAACAGACCATAAAACGATCCTTTGGGCGAAAATTTCGTCCGTTTTGCGATATCTCGACTCCTTCATGCTCAAGCGGCCTCCCCAACCGCCCGCGAGTAGTAAGGGTACCCCCAGGTCACCCGGCGCCATATTGGCCCCCCCCCAGGTAACCTGTCCTGACCTAACCTTCGGAAGGGTAAAAAATGGGTCATTTTCGGAAAAAAAATTTTTTGTCATTTTTTTGCGGATTTTTTTTGGAGGTGAAGATGAGGGCTCTAACCCAACCTAAGCTAGGGGGTGGGCCTAACCTACCCTTCAACCCCTCGAAGGGTGTTCGGGGCGATCTGGACTGTGAGGGGCGTGAGGTGCGCTTAACGGAGGAGGCGGAGCGCCTGCGAGGTAGGCCAGCCCGCCGCGCTCCGTGCCGCGCCGCGCGCCGCCGGGCGCCCGGGCGCCTGGGAGGCCCGCGCGCTCTGTCCCCAGGTCACCCATCGGGCCTGCTTGCTGTCTCTCCCGAAGCGCCTAATCAGACGGACATCATTGGCTTAATTTTTTTTAGGGAGTTTTTTTCATTTTATGATTTTTTTGTGTTTTCAGTTTTTTTTACAGTGCACCCTCAATTAGGTGAGTTGAGGTACACCTGCATCCACAATCCTACTCGCTTCGCATTACGTGCAGCACATGTTTTGGAGCTGTGAGAGCCTATAGTATCACTAGGTAAAGTCTAAACTTAAGGCTGAGCCTAAGTTCCCACTTGCAAGTTCACATTTCATAAAGATAAAATAATTTGTTTTCTGTACTTTGATTATACTTTTTAATTTTTCTAAGTTTGAATGTGAGATTAACAGTATTTCCACTTTGTTTTCCTAGTTTAGGACGGGGTTTTATAATTTTTTGTTTGTCTTCACCAAAGAAGTCATTTGTTACAACTTATTTTTCTCACCGCCCCATGTAAGCAGGCCAAAGTTTGAGATGGAGTTTAAGGCCCCATGGAAAATTTTGAAATACAGTTCTTTGGCTTCACATCGTAACATCCCTCATGCACCGAAAACTCCATGACTCAAAGACCGCCTTTCACCCCTCATAAAGCGCAATCAGCAGTAGCTTGAACTGAAGATTGAAATAGAGGTTGAGATCCCATGGGAGATATTTGACTAAAATTTAACAAAAATCTATAATATATTCAAGTTTTATATTCATCACAGCTTGAAAAGCTTTGTTGAAGGTAACATCATGGACACAAAGAGTTGTGGTTTCCACAATCTTTTCAAAATGAATCGTAGAAGTAAAAATGTGAAGACCAACCTTTTACGTTAAAATAGTAAGCATCAGAAGATTTTTAGAGATATAGTCAAAATGTGCACGATAAGGTTCTTAACTGGGTTGAATGGTTAGCATGTGCTTCCCAATGTCAATTTAGCAGTTAAAAATTATTACTTTTGTTGATAGACACACAATTTATAAAACTGTGGAACTTTAAAACTTGGGAAGCGAATTCTTATTGTTCATGACTGAGCGCTGCCACAAGAAGAAATACTACCCCGGGTGGAAGGATCTTTAGTTAAACTGTAGTTTCAACTACAGTACCAAAACTGCAGTTCCCGAACTAAAGTTAGTTTTAAAAAGAAACTGAAGACTAAATACAATTCCACTTTGCAGTTGAAATTGTAGTTTTCTGTCAGTTCACAATGTAGTTTTAGTGTTGATTTGAAGTTCAGTTGGAGGTTCAGTTTAAGTTTCAGTTACAATTTACTTAATATCCATTTCTGGAAGTAAAGCGACTGCTGAAAATAAATATTCAAAAACTGTCTCTCATCTAGTATGTTTCCGTACTTAGTATGTATTTTAAACATATTCTCTTATCGACATACTAACGTTGATAGTTATGTCTCAAAACTAGTACGTTTCCATACTTCTTATGCAATCTTCTAGTTCTATCAAGTAAAAGTTACATACCACTAGGGGAACTCAAAATCACAGTGGCTGCTTCATTGCTTTTAAAGCAGTTGAGGTTTACGTTGAATTTTTTGTCGTCTCCCTTTAAAAAAAGTATCAGGTTAAAAGCAAACGTTTAAGGTTTATAGCAAATACAGTTGGCTTTACTTTAAATGGTATAGTTGTTCGCTGTTTAAAAATTTATGCAAGCTTCCCCTTTTTTAAAGTTAGCCTCCCTAAAGAGACAAAGTAACCTTAAGTCTGCGACAAGTTTACGTAAACAGACTTGTCGCAAAGGTCCAAAATATTTTGCGCTTACATTTTTTATACTGACAGTTTAAAATTAAAATTGGTCATAAAATGCAAGTTTGTCATGAAGAGGACTACAACTTTACATAGGATTACTCTAAAATTGCTTGTAGTTTAGAAGATGTAGAAAAATTCTTAGATTTGATTTTTTTTATTAAATCCAAATCAAAGTAATTCTGTTAAGTCCTTCATATACCCTTTTTAAAATAAACATAATATTACATGCTAGTAGTATTAAATAACACTTTCGTTGAGTGAAGTTGGAGCAAAGCATATTGACTACCGCAAAAATGGACACTTAGTGCATCCTCCGCTAGGTGGCGCTAGTGTCGCATCATCTACGTCTTCGAGTTAAAAGTGTTCTTGCAGCCGATCAGAGGAATATTTTTGGATCAAACTCTGTGCAGGGCAAATATTTGAGATGCTATGACTCTACCACAAAAGGATTGACCTCGATAGGTGGAATATTAGGGAAATAACTTTGAGTACAACTTTCCTCTCGCGCA